GCGCGGCGGAAGCACTCTTCGCTTAAAGGAGGAATTCACGATAAGAACGAAGGTCAAAGAAGGGAAAATTGCATAGTTGGGAGACAGGCGGACCTCCTGAGGGTGCTGACCGACGCGCAATTGGCAGCGAAAGATTTGACCTCGGCGATCTAGCATGGCTCACTCTTGGCGCGGTTGGCGGGTACGCCCACCGACTATCTAATCACTCGCCGCAGGTCTATACGTGGCGAGTGATTAGATAGCAGAGAGAGCGTAGTGTTGAAGAGGGCACAGCGATGAGAGTCGCATCAATGCGCAAATCAACGGGCAAGGAAGGGGTCCCATTTCTCGGGTTCTGGGCCGTTTCAAATGGTTTCTTCTTCATCCCTGCTCCACTGACCACCTCTACCCTTATTTCCAATGAGCTAACTTTTCATCGTAAATTCTGCCTTCAAAACAACTTTGGAAAAAACCTTGCGTTGGTTGGAACTTATGAAGTCTAAAATTTGTAAACCACTGACGTGAATTGAAAATAAAAATCGATCTCCTTACAGAGGATGTCTTGCATTCAAAACAGATCCTATCTACGACTATCAGCTGACATTGGTTTACAAGCTTCTGTATTCATCGAAACAGGTGAGGATATCAATACAACCAACTACAGTGTTTTCGTGCTGCATATTATTGAAATATCAATCATCACTATAACTCTACCTCTAAATTATCTGCTTATTCGTGGACTTTCAAGAACGGCACTTTTCCATCGGAACGTTTGCCGAATAGCACAGGTACTCATATCCCTCCATTTTGCCCTTCCCAAGTAGGTATGAAAAAATTAAAACAAACTGAACCAAGATCAAAATTTAATGGCATTCACAAAACCTTTGTCAAAGTTATGGACATCAGACCATTCTTCGGACCACAATATTTGTATGTGTGTAACATGTGTTGAAGTTTTTCTATGAAATATTACTTATTCCAAGAAATAAATCACGGATACGCGGAGAAAAGACGCTTGACACCAGCGCGGGACGCATGCGTCCCGCACTGTCCCACATGGCCTGCGAAGTGCGGAACGTACTTGTGCTGCGCTTTGGTCAACGTATGCTAGCCAACACTTCGATCACCCTTTTTTCTTCATCACCTGCTCCTTAAGCTAGATGCAAACATTCTTGATTTTGAATAAAACAGAAGACGAATGCGTGGCACATCTCGAAACGATGACTGACTCTTGACTAATGCCAAGAAATCTATTCTTTCCAATTGCAAGAAAATTAGTTTTTAGGCCCACCTCCTTGTTTATTGCAGTGGCGCTGTTGCGAGAATTGTGCTGTTTCTGTATCAGAACAAATTGTTGCAATGCAGCGGTAAGCTTTGATTGGATTTTGCGACAATTTGATTTATTGAACGGCTAAGTTAGGTGTCGTAGGAGCACCTGCAAAGCAAATGGCTACCATATGCCCTTTTCAGACTCCTTGGGCTCTAAAATGCCTCTACTCATGGCTACACTAATTCGTGGAACATTTCTGATGGAAATGACCGGTTTTATACAAGCGGTGATAATTGAACGAGCACTAGCCTCATATTTCATAGCTGACTATGAAAATAAACCACGGTTGTGGATATGGCGAGTGATTGTCTCGTTGCTGGTACCAACTTCATTTTTGTTTGCCTGCCTTACAGCAATACCAGGTTTGTTCGATTACTTAAACATGAGATTGCTTCAGTATTACTGGCACCCGCAAAACGTTACAGCGATGTGAATCATTTTGCTTC